TTGGTGCATCTAGTTTTCTTTGGTTTCTTGGTCAGTAGAAGGGAGGAGGGTGTTTATTGTTCGTGGTGAACAGGTGGTAGTGGCAGAGGTTGACCTTATTTGTGGCCACTGGCCAGTTGGTACTGGGAATTGGGATTTTAAAAATAGTATAAGCACACAGAGTTAAGGATCATTATGGGAGAGGGGGAGAGAGAAAGGGAGAACACCCCTTTTTAGAGGATAACCAATATGTGAAATCAGACTTCTCCAAAGAAAATTCCAGTTCTGCATGAGAATCTTGCCTCTAGAAGTTGTCTTTAAGCTGATTACATACTAAATAACATATATTAGTATAGACACAGCGAGGGGTGGGCAGGCAGATCCCTGCCAGCTCCACGCTGAAAAAGGGGAAGAAAAAACTGAACAGAACCTTAAAACAAATACTTGAACTCACTTGCACAACATTTTACAGTAGCGTCCCCCTACACTGACTGACATTGAAGATATAGCAAACAGCAATGCTAGGCAAAACATTAGAAGAAGCAGAAACCAGGACCTCGGATCAAACACTTCTGATCTGGGGGGAAATGGATTCCCAATAGCACAGCTGGTCCTTTGTGTGTGTGTGTGTGTAAAGGCCTGATGCAAATCTCTAGAGCCAAACATCCTTGAACTTTGGGAAATTTGGAGCTGGGCCAGCATTTTGCAGCATGCGTCATTTTCTACTCATGAGCCATATTATGGTGGAAGGAACACACCACCCACCATGCACTCACTGGATGTTGCCTGTCTTTCACTGAGTTTGGGTGAAATCCAATCTTGCCTGTGGAAAAATGGAAGGTTTCCGAGGACAAACACCAGCCGTATACACAACATTTGAACTTCCGGTGGGTTTCTTGCAAAGCAAACTTTGTTACATTCCTACCGTTGTGAAATGAGGCCCTGGGGAGAATTTAGAGATGTGGGTTCCTCCTCCCCTCTCCTTCTATTTTTCTTTATAAATCTCTGGCACTCAACTTCCCCTTTTCTTAGAAAATTAACAAAGTTAAAGAAATAATTTATACCACCAGTCTTAAAAGTGCAGAAGAATATGTCAGTTGAGCAGATGATCGTTCTTCCCTTATAACACCTCTCACATGACACATCAGTGTGAGTGTGTTTCTCAAAAGGGCTGTATGCTTCAAAAGTAGTCTCTGCACTCCACGTTGAAGTGGTTGCCATGGCAGTAGGCTGAGTGTGAATTAGAAAGCATGATTAGCCAGAGTTGGCCTCAACAGCTTAGGGAAAAAAAGGCCAAGGTCTCTCTCTCTCTCTCTCTCTCTCTCTCTCATAATTTCTCATATACAGCCTTTGGTGTGTGTCACAGAGGGTGCAAGACACTCAGACAAAAAATCCCACAAAAATACACTGCTACCTACCAGCCCCGGGACAGCAGATTGGCTCACTAATTTTTGGAGTGCAGGTTTGAAGATAGGCCACAGGATTCTTTCTTTGGCTTTCTTATGCTAAGTCTTAGTATGACTAGCTGAGCATGTTATACGCTATTTAGCACCACACATCCTCTCTGAATCCAGTAGACAGTAATCTCATTCAGTAAAACTCCACAAAACCTCTGGATTCAGAAGGTATAATGAAAATATGACTTAGTTTTTTCCATGTTTCACAGTACTGTAGGAAATCTTAACTAACCCTCACAACACTCCAAGGGGCTATTTAAGTACAATACTCTCTCCCTCTGTAATATAGGTGAGGCACAGAGTGGTTAAATGGCTTGCCCCAGGTCACATAGGCCAGGTCTAGATTAAAGGGGAAAGTCGACTTAAGACACGCAATTCCAGTTAACTTAACTAAGTAGCTGGAGTCGAAGTACCTTAAATCGTGTTTTGGCGCTGGCCACACAGTGGGAGGTCAACTTCCCTTACTCCTTGTGAAGGGCCGGACTACCAACACCCTCCCTTCACTAGACCCCACAATTTGAACCCCACAAGATCGACTGCGGCAGCTTCAATCTCCTCTGTAGTGTAGACAAGCCCAAAGTGAGTCAGTGTCCAAACTGGGATTGGAACTCATGAGTTCCCGTGTCCCAGTGCTGACCCCAATTGCTAGATATCACTACCTCTATCTACCACTTATTTTGAGATAAATAATAATAGCACTTACTTGTATTTTTTTTTTTAAATTCCTTCGATCTAATAGAGTAGTTTTCAGTTCCAGATATCAAACCACTAGTAGATAAATACCATTGGTGGGTGAGCAGAGAAATTGAGTACCCTACCCAAGGTGTCAGTGATTCATAGATTTCAAGGTCAGACAGAACCATTGCATCATGTCTGACCCATATATTGCAGGCTATAGTACTTCACCCATGTACCCTGGTACTGAGCCCAGTAACTTATGTTTGAGAACAGTATCTATTCTTGATCTGAAGACATCAAAAGATGAGAATCCACCACTTCTCTTGGCAGTTTGCTCACTGTTAAAAGCTTGTACCTAATTTCTAATTTGAATTTGCCTGGTTTCCGTTTTCAGGCATTAGTTCTTGTGATGCCTTCCTCTGTTAGATTAAAGAGTCTTTCAGTACCTGGTATTTTTTCCCTGTCAAGGTACTTATACACCATCACCCTCATTTTAATAAACTAAACACTAACCTCATTTAAATCACTGTAAGGCAGTTTCTCCAGCCCTCATCTGTGCTAGACTAGAATCCAGGCCTTCTCATTCCCAGGTTTATACCCTCTCTACCTGGACACTCTCACTTGAAACCTTGGAAAGGCAGGTTGGGGCAGGGTCCTAGCTGGTGTAAATTTGCATACCTCAAAAAACTTCCCTGAGGGAATACACCTGGCTTACACTTGCTGAAGTTCTGCCCTTGGGTATTTAGCTGAAGCAGATTCTATGAGTCAGATTTTTCTTGCGTTGATTCTACTTTGCTGTAACTTTGACGTCAGTGGAGAGTTACTCCTGATTCTCATTGGTGTGAACGAGATCAGAAATGGATACCAGGATTCCACTCAGGCCAGTCTCCCACAAGCTATGTCTGCACTGCAACGTTATTTCAGGATTCTGGAGTATCCCAAAATAGCTATCCCGCATTTTTACAGCAAGCCTGTAATTTCGGGCTCAGTATTCCAACATTCCACAAGGAGTAAGGGACATTTTGGAATAGCGGGTTATTTCAAAATTTATGAAATAAGCTACTTTGAAATAAGATTGAAATAAAATACATAATTTGCATGGCTCAAATTGCTTATCTCAAATTGCCTATGGTGCAGTGTAGACGCACTCACTGTGTCCTGACGAGATGACAGGTTTTTTCTTTGAAGGGACCATAACCCAGATTTATTACTCTCTCTTTAGTGGATGACAGGTCTGTTTTGGTCAGCCACGTGGCCTGAAAATTAGCCTCCTGAAAGAAAAAGGTGACACAGGGAGTCCATTGTTCTGCAGTCCTGGCTGGTGTTTGCTTTAGTTTTGCAGCAATCCCTTCCATGTTTTGCACCTCTTAAATTGCTGTCATCCATGTCTGAGAACTGGGACTGTCTTTTTGGAGCCAACATTGTGATACATTTCTTGGCAGCCCAGGCCATTCATATTCCACACAAGTGTTCCTCTCTGTTCCTTATGAGCAATAAGCATAAATATCAGATTTCATTTATGGAGCGCCTTTCATCCTGGAATATCCCAAAGTTTTTTCCAAGCTTTCTCAATGACTGTACAGTAACAACTTCTGTGACTCCTCCACCAAGGTTGTAACTTGCTTTCTATTAAAGTCTGGTTTTGGGGAAAACCAACACTAGAATATCCTCAATTAAAAAGAGCTTATTTACAGCTGAAATGTGTTGTGCATATTCCCTCACTAGAGGAGACAGGCTGCCTCCCTTCCCAGGTTTAATCCAACAATTCTTCATGGGGATATGAAAGTTTGACAAGGGAACTTTTTTCCTCTTCTCCCTGATTTTAGAAAATCCAATTTTTCTGGAACGCTGTAGCTCTTTAACACATGTAACACAGTTCTGCCAACTGCACAATTGTTTGATTTTATTTTCCTTCTATGAGAACTAGTGTCTTAGTGAATTTTTGAGATGGACTGTAAGATCTTGGGGTCTTAACTTTTCTGTCTTCCAGTTCACCCATCTACAGAGTGTTAAGAGGTCAATAATTATAACTATTTAATGCCACTATTAATTAATCTGACCATAGAGCGAGCAGGGCAATGTGCACAGTATAAGAATCCAAATGGAATATTATCACTGATATATCTAATTAGTGTTACAGTTTATTCATAAACTTTTCTGAGGCACTCATTATTGTAGTGACTTTGCTATATGTGTTACTGAATTTATCTTTATAACGCTCATATTATGTAGTGAAATATTATAAATATTTACAGATAGAGAATTGAGTCTCAGCAATTAAGTGACTTGCCCAAGGGCATGGAGCATGTCTGTGGCAGAGATGGGAATAAGGCCACATCTTCTGAGTCCCATTCAGTATCTTAACCACAAGAACATCATTCATCAGCGCAGTGCTTAAATAGCCTCAGATGAACAATGCTATACCAGTTCAAAGCATTATTTCTGGCGCCTCCTCTTTCAAGGATAGCTCTAAACTTCCTGGGAGAATTCTAGAAAACAATACAGCATTACGACCAAGTTCAGAAAAAACATAGGTCCTAAAATACTCAACCTTAGACCTTTGGCCTCCTTCACACTAATTACATTTGAAGGGACATGTTTTCCTGAATCAGAACCTTTTCTGCTATTCTGTCAATAGCATCTTGGGTTGGGTTTGTTTACGTAAATGTACAAAGATCCCTTTCAAATAAAATATTGCCCATACTGATGTTTATATAAACTGGCAAAAGATTCAAAACTGATTATGAATCAGTACTTACTCTGTCTCTCTGTATGTGTCAATATTAGCATTTTTTAAAGGTTTAATTCATTATTGATTAAAGGTTTGTGTGTGAATAAAAGCTTGATAAGGTCTCTCTTATTCTGTGTTCCTCTCTTTCCTCCATCAACAAAGGCCACAAATGTCACAGGAGATGATTGTGCAACTTGCATTCATAGATCTGTAAGGGTAAGTTGCTTTAAAAGGACACTGTGGATAAAAATAATCTATTTTTAAAAAATGTATACCTGTCTTACTAATAGCATCATAGATGACTTAAAGAGACCAAAGTTTAAAAATCTTATTTATTTTTAATGTACTTTATTGTTTTATTTATTTTATTTTGCTTTTCAGAAAAATAAAAAGCATGCTCTCCGTGGCTGGATTTAAAAAAACAAAAATCCAGAAACCTTCCAACACAGAGAATCTATCAACTCACCCTCATCATGTCACAAAAATAAATCAGCAAACAATTACCAATGAAAACACTCTGTGGTGAAAACACTCCATTCATCCCAGTTACCGAGCCTTTCCCAGACTCTGCTTTGGAGATTTCACCGGACCCTCCTCCTTGGCCTCTTGTTAGTCACAGCTGGTTGTGTCTTGCATGAAACAGGAGTGCTCAGTAAGTATATATAATCTCTGAACTGCTTTTTAGCACATATAAATTATGTTCATTTGAGAGAGGAAAAACTTAATGCAACTGTAGTATTTGCTTTCCTATGGGTACTTTTTTGAACAGATGGCCCCTGGAGCAATCCATAAGATTATGATGAAGCCCAAACTGTTATTTGGATACTTTATAGTATTTTACACTGTTACCCTTGAAAAAAATGTCTCCTTTTTGTCTGAAGCATGTGCTGGTTGTATGAAATTCAGGGCAAGAACTGCATCTTCCTACATATTTACACAGTGCCTAACACAATGTGGCCTCAAACTTAAGTGAGACCTTTGGCCACTACCACATCCCAAATAATACTTTTAAAATTAAACCTCAGGTTTGGGACCGGACTTGCCCGATAGAACCCCTGTAGTGGAAAGGATTATGGCCTTGTGAGCACTGTCATTCAGGCAGCAACAGCAGGGAGAAACAAAATGAGAATGAAATAAAAAGATCAAGGACTAGCTTGCTCCTTTCTGTGAGAAATGTCTGGGAGGGGGCCTTAAGGGTCAGGAAATTCTGTGAGGCTCCCTTGTGGATATTTCCTTCCCCTCCCCATCATTCTAATCAGGGGCAAGCAGAGATTTGGCCACTGAAGAAGGGGTGACAAGAGAGCAAATGTGTACAATTGGGACACTTTTTGGGGAGGGGGGAGTATAAGATAAATATCAGGATGGTCCCAAGAATATCAGGACGTCTGATCACCCTACTGCTGAAGAAACCAAGGGGTATCATTTTCCATCTTCCAGAGGCCTGAATTTCAGGAAGCAGTTTTGCTGCTGAGAGGAAGATGAGGGCTTTTGGAGTGATCACAATGAAAAAAGAGCAAACCTACAAATCTCTAAATGGGGGAGGGGAAGGGGTTGCATACCAGACTGCTGCATACATGAGGGATTTCATAAGACAGCTGCTTAGGAAGAGAAACATGATCAGGAACTGACAAACATTTTTCTGCAAGGAACCAGGATAAGTCCCCTTAAATTTGGAGCAGATATCTATCAGTCTGGCTATAATCCTGTGACATCACTTCTAAAAATAAAATCAATGGAATTACTAGGGATTATGGCAGGCCTGGGCAACATACCCTCTGTGGGCTGGATGTGGCCCAGCAAGCTGCTAGATCTGGCCCATGGACGCACCAGGGAGCCTCAGGCAGTCTCCTCACCTGACCCCCCAAATGCTGTTGAGAAATGTGGCCGTTGTGAGGCTCTGTTTGAACAGCTCTGGGCCCAGGAAAGGGAAGGAAGGCTTCATGTGCTTCCCCTGTGCCCTCAGCAGGATCCCATTGGCAGGTTTCTGTCCACACCCTCTCCTGCACCCTAGTCTCTTACTGCAAGCCCCCTTCTGCACCCAACCTCCATCCCAGACCTGACACCTTGTCCATTAATAGGAGTGTGGGCCTTGTCCAAATTTTGGAGTAGCCCCCCCCCCCATGAAAAATTATTGCTCACCCCTGTATTACGGGCAGTACCATGATGTAATTAATCTTTACATCAAACTGCACAGGGGATCTTGTTTTGTTTTGTTTTAATACTAGCAGGCCCCAGTGGTGGCAAGGACACAGATACTAGCCTTGCTGCAGCACAACAGGATGTCCTGAGAACTGCTAGTATAGGGACGCTAGTATAGCAGTTTGGATACAAGAACTGGAAAAAAAAATCTTGTATTTTTTCCTTCCCAATGAAATTCATGCCTGGTATAGTATGTGAAATAAAAAAATTGAGGGAGAAGTGACCCTCTTTAAGTAAGAGGTATTATTTTGTCCCAGTTATACTCTCCTATTTGGGATCTTGTGATACCACTAATGGACATGGTGTAATATACTGTTAGTCAGCTCGCCAAATGGGTGCAGTAATAGGGACTGGATAGTTCCAGAGATCCCCAATGGGTTATGGAGCTGTGGCATTAAGATACTGGTTGAAATCTAGCTCCTGGGGCTAGTTAATTAAAGTTCTTGTCTGGTTGGTAGTCTCCCTGTTTACTGCAGGGAAGCTTTCAACACAGCTAGCACGTTCAGGCCAGGCCTAGGAGTGAATGGACCATGGAGAACAAATCGCTCTCTCACACCTACGGGGTTGTCCCAGGCAGCATTGAGGCACCGTGGCAGGATGATGGGGGGGGGGAAGCTTGTGCCATGTGTGTTACTGACTGTTCCCTCTGTTATCTGCAGGGGATGTGAGTCTATAGCCATGCCAACCAGAGCGCTTTGTCTTAAGCCATAGGTGAAGCGTGTGCTACTGTGGCGACACCAGGTCCAGTCCTTGTTCTCATGAAGTACCTGCAGGAACAAGCTGTGTGAGGAGAAAACTGGATAGTTCTCCTAGCAGAGGCTTCTCCAGATCAGTGCATCAGAGGGCAGGATGTGTTTCCTTTCCACCCTCAAATCCTTGTAGGTGGCCTGATCTCTTGTGTTCTCTGAGCACAGGTCCACTGCCGCCTTCTGACCCTGGACAATGTTGCCAGGCTTTCCTCAGTTGTTGTTGCCTCAGCCCACTGACAGGTATTTTAAGGGGACCTACAACAGTTAGTAGACTACATTAATTTTCTGTTAGTATTTCCTCTGGTGCCCACGGGAGATGGCAGTTCATGTCCCCCTCTTCCTGAATTCCCCCTCCTAATGGACTTTTTAGGGGTTCCACGGCAGGAACACTGCCAAAGTACCTGGCCACATCACCACCTGCATGCCGTATAGGGATAACCAGCTGGGGGGTGGATGCTACAAATAGTATTATTTTACCTCAAATTTCCACCTAATTTTGCAGATTCTGGAGGTTCCACTAGCTTGGCTCAAGATCCCATCTTTAGAGTATTTGTCCAAAGTGAACCTCATTGTGAACTTTTAAATTTTACCCATCCTTCAACAGCAGTGTGACTCAAAAACCTCATTAGCTAACCAAAGAAGAAGTGTGGGCTTTAGTTTACTCGTTCCCCCCAGTAGCAGAGTAGGGATTGGCCTGTATCAAATCTCAGAGCCAACATACACCCCTGGATCTCTGGATCCAGATCTGAATTTCCCAGTTGGCAACACCCTCTGTACAATGAGTACAACCAAAATCCAAGTTCTAAACACATCCTTGAACTTTGAGGAAGCTCAGTACTGGATCCAGGTTTGAACTTTGTGTGTTGGGCCCTTCACTACTTATAACACAGCTCAAAATAATGTGGTTCTGGAGTTAGAGGCCTGCCACACATGGGCTCAAGTGCTTTCATTTTGTGGTTGCCTTTTATATATGTTCAGTCCTGTGATGCTGGGCAAGGTGGATGGGGGCTTGCTCCGTGCTCCTGGAAGGGGCAGGGTCTCAGGCAGAAGAAGCGAGGATGTGGGCAATCAGCCCTCAGCCTTACCTAGAGGGCACCACAACACACTCCCTCAGCCCTCAGAGCTTCCTGGAATGCACCACGTGGTGCTCCCACAGCCATTTAAAGGACCCAGTGAGCCCCCGGCTCTTTTAAATTGCTGGGCCTTGGGACAATGGCCCCTTTTATTCCCCCTTTAGCAGGCCAGATGTGGGAATAAAAGCCATCTCATCACACTGGTTAACAAGAAGTCAAAGGTGCATTTTCCTTAGGTGTGCCAGCCCTTGTCTCACCATCCAGACGCTGGACTCTATGATGAATGGTTACTGGAAACTAGATTAATCAAATATCAGGCGCTTCCAAACTCAGCCATGTAGTCAGGTCAATATAGAACTCATATCTTATCCAACAATCATGCTGCTCCCAAGCTTTTAGTAACTAAAAACTAAAGGGTTTAATAATAAAAGAAAGAACAAGAGAGTTAATAATGGTTAATAGAGCATATACATACATGTGATTGCAAAGCCCTTATATTAGGTTTGCAGCAGTGATGGTATAGACTGCTGGTTTGTAAAGTCTCTCTGGTAACTTCCTAAAGACTGGAATGTCCTCAGTTGTGAATCTATGACAACTCAGAAAATCAGGGCAAGAAAAAGGCAAATGGGAGACGTCTCAGGGTCTTTTAGATCCTGTGCCATGTGCCTAGAATGTTTGTTTCAAAGCTCACAGCCCAGTTTGTGGAAAGCTACTGTCATAAGATGGAGTCCAGAGTCACATGAGCATATCACATGTTCTTACATGCATGCCCGGCCTTTGGACAAGGCGAGTGAGGTGGTCACCTTGGGCCCCGTGAATTCTGGTCACCGTGGCTCCACGCATTCAGGGCCTTGTGCTGCCTAGCTCCCAGCCCTGCCCACCCGTCCAGGAGTCGCGCGGCCGTACGGCTCAGCGTGCTGCCTTGGGCCCTGCACACTCTTTGGCCGGTCCTGCTTCCATGACTGGATGACTCACAGGGAGCATACATTAGCCAGCCCTGAGACAGCTAAGTGTGTCTGATGGGCCATGATTGCAAAGTCAAGAAGCCTTGATGTAAATCTTATTTGATGGGTGTTACCCAGGAAGACCATATGTATAAGCTACAAGTCCATGGCCAATATTCATAACTTCAGATACAGAGATGATTACAGCCAGTCCCCGAGTTGCGAACGGTCGACTTACGACCATTCGCAGTTACGACCGAAACTGTCGTAAATGGCGGACCCCGAGTTACGAACGCAATCCGCACTTACGAACAGCGCAGTCATGTGTAACTCAATGGGGTCCGACTTATGAACAAACTGAGTTATGACCAATTGCTTGGTCCGTAACCAGTTCATAAGTCGGAGAGAGGCTGTACATGGATTTAACCAAGATAAACATATTTGATAGGTTGTAACTTTTCCACTGTTACCTTACATAAAATGCTTTGTGAAAGATTTGTTACAATTGTCTAACACTGAGGTAAATGATATAGAGTCAGGTAGCACATTAAGGACTAACAATTTGATTATGGCATAAGCTTTCATGAGTTGCAACTTACTTCAGCAGATACATGAAGTGAAAGAACAAGAAACAGATAGTAGTGATATAGAGATGGGAGTGTTACAACAAAGCTAATTTGATCAGAG